ATCTCTAAAGGAAGCTCGTTCCACAGTTTTGGAGCTGCTACAGCAAAAGCACGATCTCCTCTAAGTTTACGCCCAGTCCTGGGTATCTACTGACAAAGGATGGAGTCTGCTGGTTAAAGTCTACAATACTTAAACAATTCCGATAAAAAAAAGCAACAATAATTTAAAAACAATTCGATAATTTAAAGCAATTCAGTTATTGAAGCATTTATTTTCAGGGTATTCACAACATTCATGCTTCAAACCTGCAGTAAAGGTTTACTCGGTTTTTTGTGTAAGTGTTGCTACATAGCAGAACACCATCACACCACAGTCTGCTGAATCTCAAAGCTTCAAGCTGAATCTTTTTGCAGTTAAACTGTTTCTAGGATTAAAAAGACAAATCAAATGCAAAGTTGCATCAGTCTACCAAACCTTAAGGTTCACCTTCACTATTCCTGCTATTTTTAATTGCACTATGAAATGAGGTTACGGCTCCCTGGAAACGTTTGTTATCGTCCTAAGGCCTTCTCCTGCGTGGGAACCAACAAATATTTTAATTTCCAAAGGTTTAGGCAGCTGCGTAGAGAACTCAGTGACTGTGGGTTGCTGGGACAAGGTTTCGGGAAACAGAGTATTTATGAAGCTTTGAAATTTGAATCACCTCCCTAAAAATAATTAGAGTTAAATTAACTGCACTTCAATTTTTAAAAAGAGAGAGGGAGAGAGAATAAAAAAATAATCTCGCTTAAATGCTGAAAACAATGTCAGCTTTTACTTGGCTGTCTTTAGTAAGACTAAACACAGTAAAATGTTAAGGCATGCTACTGTACAGCCACAGCATAGAGCAGGAGGCAAAGTAGGCCAGCAAAACATAGAAGGCTTCCAGTCCCACTGTTTTTAATAAACAGTGGTTAAAGTACTTTTAATAAAGTAAGACTGTTAAGCAACGTTTCATCTGATTCCTGTCGACACCCACATCTGTAAAGTTATCCAGATGTGGGTATCTTTAGACTTATTTGTTGATTCTCAGTAGACCATCTAAAAACTAATACAATAATACATAATAATAATAATAATACATGTCACCATGACAAAAAAACCTCCACTACAGAACATGTCAACAGCAACTGTATTTAACCTGAGAGTGAAAAGGGCAAGAAGAAGCGATTTAGACTATTTTGAACCCTTTGGCTTTTTCCAGCACTCATTACCAGGGCGGCGAGACACACAAGCATCTCACTGTACAGATATATATCTGTGTGTGTGTTTGCTTTCTGGCAGTGCTACAAAATATTAAAGAGAAAGAGCAAGGGGAAAGAGGGAGAGGAGGAGAAAAAGTTTAATACTGCGGTGTATTCTGTACTAATAAGCTGTCTGGGCTTCTGTGGGAAACTGTCTGACGGGTGTAAGCTTTGCCATGCACTTCTGTGTGCTTCTCCAAGGCTACATGTTTGACTGAGAGCTTTCTTTG